CTTTAAAGGAAGAAACAGCATTAGCTTGCACAATATCCTACACTGTGTTCTCAAAGCAAACTGCCCTGGGTGAAGGGCACTCGCACGGGCGCGTGTTCTGTGCGCGCACCTGCCGGGCCCCGGGCCCCAGCCGAGCAGCTGGTGTGGCGCTGGCCTTGAGGAGCTCAGCGTGGACTGTGGATCAGTGCGCAGGGAAGATGGGAAGGAGGGATGAAGGGAGAAATAGCGGAAGGGAGATTCTTATTCAGATAAAACCCCTTGTCTTTCATAGGAATTCCAAGAGTCTTCCCAGAAAGTTTTTCCTTTGCTTGTTATGGCCTGTCTGTCCTTCCCGCGTACTGACCGTCCCTGTGAAGGACACTCCGCCATCAAGAGGTCTCGGAAACCTCACAAACCATGTGCAAATACAGAGTCACTGGTCTCAGAAGCCCGTCCCCCAGGGTCCCACCGCGACGGCACCGCCGTCTACGTGACCCACTGAGCTGGGAAGGCAGACACATCTGGGGTGACCGCTATCTGTCCTCACTGTGAAAACAGGATGGCGGCTCCCCCAACGGTCCCGAAATGGAGGGAATTACTGTGCAGCGCAGCGGACCCGCTCCCCGATTGTGTCCAGAAACCTAGGGTGCGTACACCTTGTCGGCAGAAGCACCACTCACAGGAACCAAGGGTCCTTCAACAGACGGATGTGAACAAAAGGCTGTCCATCCACACACCGGAACATTCGGCCTGAGAAAGGAGGGAAATTCTGACCCCTGCTGCAGCGTGGCCGACGACATGGTGTGAGTGGGGCAGGCTGGTCACAGGACAAACCCTGGATGACAGCCCTTATCAGAGGTCATGTGAAGTGTATGTATGTATATTGGCCTCTGCCCTGTTCCACTGAGTCAGGCTCGGCTTCCTGACACGGAGCCCCTCCGTAAACCCCTTGGAACGAGTGTGCCACAGCCGCCCCGGGCACCGGGTCCTCCCAGACCTCTTCCTCTGGCTGCTCAAGTGTCTTCATGATAAATCAGCCACCCCGGGACACTGTCCCCGGGCCCTGGGAGCCACTCAGCAAGTGTCTGGCCTGGAGCTGAGGGGGCAGGGTGTGGGAGCCTGCGGGCCCTCCGCAGTGCAGCTGCCCGCGGGACAAACGTCTCGTGTCGGGATGCGGGGTGGCCCCGACGGGCCCTGGAGCTGGCACATCCACCGGCGCAGCGGGGATCCACTGGCGGGCGCGGAGTCCAGCAGAAGGGATGGACCGGCCCTGGTGGTGAGGGCACGGCCGGCCGCGCAGCAACAGAACTGAAGGCAGTGGCGCCAGTGAGCCGCCATAGGCCCAAATGGGTCAGGACTGTAAAGTTCATGTTTTGTGTATTTTCCTACAACGGCAAACAGCAAGACTGGGGTCTCAGTTCCCCATCCCCACTCACTGCGCCTCGGCAGGCTCTCCCAATGGGAGGCCAGCACCTAGCCAGCCCACGCCAGGCTCTCCTGGCTTCACCCATGGCTGACCCATGAGTCAGGTGCGGCTTCCCAGCTGGAATGCATGGCCGCTGTTTCCTGCCAGTGGCGTCTGTGCTCCACAAACAGTTGTGGTAAAGCACACGGGAAATTTCTCTGAAGCGGTGGGACCTGAATCGGTGTGAAAAAATATCTTTCTTCCTGGGTTGGGGGCAGCCCTTTGGCCACGGCGATGATATTTCCATGGCCTGGCTTGCAGTAGGCAGCTAAGAGTCACCCAGGCGCCAGCCCCTCCTGAATCCACCCACTCTATCCGATGTGCCGGCAGCTTCCAGAAGCTCTCATCACAAGAGCCACTCACAGGCTCACTGAAGCCAAGTGCCCCATGCCCCCCTCAGGTTGGCTTACATCCACCTGCAAGGTGGCACACACATACTCTTCTTTCCATGTCGTCACAGAGTTCCAGAACATTCTGTTCCTTCTAAGAAAATCTCTCGAGGTCACTGACCTTTCTGCCGACATATTACTGATGCTGAGGGAGAAAAGATAACAGCTTTGAGGGTTGGTGCAAGGCACTCCTGGCAGGAGGCTCTGGAAATGCATTTCTGGGCTGCTTCCCAAACTACCAGGAGAGGCGTTGAGAGTGTTTTACAGGGAAGGCCCAGGGTGAGTGAGCGTGGATTTCTCCAAAATTGGACTGCTTCACAGAGCATGTCGACATTCAACAGGCCTCCTGTGGGGGGGGGGGGTGCTGTGCTCAGTCCACCCTCTAACGGTGTGGTCGCTGCTGACTAGTCCGTTGTGGCGTTCCAGCTTTTCTGGAGTGAACACGCTCCATGCTCACTGCATTCTTACGGGAACCTCACAACCCTGGCACTTTTCTTTAAGGTCAGGCATTTGTTAGGTCCAATTTGGGAGAAGACCCATTTCCGCACATGGCTCACTGCCCATTCAGACAGGCAGATCTCCTGCCGGCCTGGGCATCTGGTCTGGGAAGAGCTTTGCCCAGAGCAAACCTGTGGTCCAGGCTGACGTGGCTCAACCTCCAGGTTTGGGTTCAAGGGGTCTTGTGGCCTCGGCTGCTCAGGTCTCCAGCCACCGTCCACAGGTGACACTGCTGGTGTATGAGGGACTCCCGTCAGGGGGACACTGAACACCCTGCCCTGGCTCCCGGGCTCTGGAACAGGCAGGGTCAGAGCCATGGTTACCCCCATGTCCTAAGCGAGGACACCAGGGAATAGAGAGGTCATCTGCTCCAGGCTGTCCAGCTCGTTAGCCCTGCACCCTGGACTCCAACTGCACGGTTTTAAGGCACACACCATAACCCATGTCCAAGAGCTCAGACAAGGGTGCGATTTTCCAAATTAGAGGCTTTGCTCACCTTGTAGGCTGCCATCACGTCGCCGTCAGTGGCCTGCCACGTTGTCTTGCTTGAAGAAATTAGTACACTGTAAAATTTTACTGGTGTCTGTAAAAGGTAGACTTCAGGCTTTTACACAAAATAGCCAACTCAGCAAAAAAGTTATCTGTCTCCATACGTTTTCTTCCCAGTGCGGCGTGTCCTGGTCCAGCCAGGGCTCTGGCTGTGAGACTGGAGTTCTGAGGTAAATCCTGAAACTCGCACGGAATAATCTGGAAGAATCAACCTCTTTTCCTTTGCTGCTGCGTGCCGGTGCACGGACGGCATGCTTCGTGACCTCTGTGACTGTGAGGATGAACGGACACAGTGTCGTGGCCGTTGCGTGACGACCACCGCTGCCATTTGTTCTTGTGTCAGGTTAGACGAGGCGCCCTTGAGGAAGCCATGGGACAGATCAGGCTCTCCTTGGAAATATTACTTGTGAGCGCTCACAAATAAACGGAAGAACAAAGATCTTTTCTTGACCTTTTGTGAGGTCACCTTGGACACCTCTACAAACAAACTGTGAGCCCAGGCTGTTAATTCAACTCCTGACTCCCACAACTGTTCTTCAAGATGTAACATCTGAGGTTCAGCAAGCGTGAGGCGGCCCCCATGCTGCCCCTGGCGAGCCCTCTGGAAGCCTGGTATCTCCACTTTCAAAGTTATTCCCTTAGGCTGATTTAAGAGCTCGTGGCCCAGAGCCTCTTTATCAGACTTGAGCTTCTTGACCGGAAAGTTGTAACATTGAAAGGCATCTTCAGGAGCTCCCAGGAAAGCAACATCCGTGGCTGGAGGTAGGGGAGGTGGGGGGAGCCTGGAAGCAGGAAAAACACCAAGGGAAGACGGAGTGGAAGGGCCCCCCGCCCCCCACAATTGCAGCGGTGGCGAAGGCTGGCGGACAGTGCCAGCGAGGGCATCACCGTACAGGCGTCACTCATAGCCACCAAGGACGGCATCTAGGATGTTCCCTAAATCCCTCTTTTCTGCCTCAGATGTGTCCCTCGCCCCATGTGGTTGCTGGAGGGTGGGTGCAGGAATCACCGTGTCCTGGCCAAGCCACGGGTGGACGTCACACCCAGGATGGGGCCGGGCTCACGCCTGCTGGGATCCACGCTCACTGAGCCTGTTTAATTGCCTCGCCTTCAGTCTGAACGGAATCAAATGCGTCTGGGTTTATCTGGCTTACCCCAGACATTTTGGGTTTCCAAAGGCAATGCCAAGTGTCGGCGCTGAGTCATGCCCTGGGCGCCCAGCTTGCTGGATCTCAGCACGCTGCCCTCAAAGACCAGGACAAATCCCACCTAAATTCCCCAGAAAGCCCCCAGCTGCTGCAGCAGCTTCTACTCAGTCTCCACCTGTCCAATGGGTGTAAGGTCCCTTAGCTCTTCCAGAAACTTCCAACTCACACAGAGGTGTTCTTTACCAGCAAACAGAGGCTCACAAGCCAACCCCGGAATGCCCCGAATTTCGTGTGTCCTTCTTTCTCTCACATGTACTTCTGCACATTCCCACCTACCTGTCACTCCCGTGCAGGTCACATCTCTGAAGAGAGTTACTCTCTCTGGGATGCGTGAGGCCTGGGGAGATTTAGGAAGTCCCCTTCCGTGGGAAGAACCAGCCGGCTGCTCTGTGCTCTGGGGCCCCCTGCCCGAGGCAGTGTGCCCACCCTGCTCTCCCCACATCTCCGTGGCTGGGTGACAAGGACTTTGTTATGTCAGTTTCACAAGATAAGAAAGTCATTTAAATTAGAATTTAAATGATGCATTATTTAATTACATAATAGTTGATAGAAATGTAGTGTTGAAATGAATTTCCTTTCCTGCATACGTCTCCTGCTCATTTCTCAGGTACCACCTTTGCTCAGCCCTGCTTGAGAAAGAGGGAAGACAAAACCCTTTTCTGACCGATGACAGTAAGGTAGGGGGCTCTCAGGATTTTCTATCACATATTTTATGAAAACACAGTCTGGATGACAGCCACGTGGGAGGTGGCGGGCGCAGCGCAGAGCCTGCTGTTGAGTGACTCGGAGACGTGCCGCGAGGGCATCGCCTCATGGGGAAGTGGCCGTGTCTGAATGCGGCTCAGCCCCAGCGGCACCCTGGCCTCTCGATCTAAGAAGCACGACGCGTCTCTGTAAACTAGTGACGTATTTTATTGGTATCACAACTAGAGGCTCGTTATAAAATCACACAGACTTTCAATGTCTGCAGGAAAGAGTCATTTCTTAAGAAAATAATTCAATGCTCAGCGCTCAGCAGAAGCACTTTCCTCGCAAAGCTCTGGCCATCCAGGAACGTGGCGTCCACTGAGGCCACCTTTGCTGCTAGGAAGGCGTGAACGCAGTGCAGGACGGCAGTCAGGTTGGGGAATTCGAGTTCCTGGAAGAAAGAATAAGAGAAGATAAAAGAAGAAGATGCACGGGGCGCCTGGGTGGCTTAGTCGGGTAAGCGTCCGACTTTCACTTAGGTCATGATCTCGCGGTTCGTGGGTTCGAGCCCTGCGTCGGGCTCTGTGCTGACTGCCAGCTCGGAGCCTGGAGCCTGTTTCAGAGTCTGTGTCTCCCTCTCTCTCTGACCCTCCCCTGCTCACGCTGTCTCTCTCTCTCTCTCTCTCCTAGAAATAAATAAAAAAAATTTAAAAAAAAAAAAAGGAAGAAGATGCTCAAGTCTTAGAAAAGCACATTACAAAAACACGTAACAGATTCTATGTTTTTTGAGCTCCCAGAAAATCACTTAAGTACAAACACACATGGAATAAGGACAGACTGAGGTCAAAGTAAACGCCTTTGATCTCACGGGACACAGACAGGAAAACACTTCTTGTTTCTGCAGCGACCACATGACGGGTCAGGCTGACGGCTTCACTGTCTTGCATCTCACACAGGTGATGCTCCTTCTGGGTGATGCCCGGACCCCGTGTTCTCCGCGGCGCCCCCGACCCCGTCCTCTGGGCAGCCCCTGGACCCCATCTGTACCAGGACCCTGACCCAGCGATGTGACTTCATTCAGGCCCCACAGGGATGCCTGGCCCGGCTGGTGCTCAGGCGAGGTTGTGACGGGATGTCAGCACAGCAGGGCTCCTGGTGTCCAGAACTCAGTAGGACTGACCACCATGCATTAGCCGTGGCGTGTGTGAGTGTGCCCGTGTCACAGACGTGCACATGCGTGCATGCCCATGCACGCGTGCGTCATGTGTGGTGTGACCGTGCATGCGATATCACACCTGTACACGTGTGTGCGTGCCCTGCGTGTCACACCTGTGCACGTGTGTGCATGCCCTGTGTGTCACATCTGTGCACACGTGCGTGCATGTCACACCTGTGCGTGCATGTCACACCTGTGCATGTCCTGCATGTGTCGTATCTGTGCACATGTGTGTGCATGCCCTGTGTGCGTCACACCCGTGCGCATGTGTGCGCATGCGACCATCTGTGGAAGGAACCACAGCACCGGGTGAGCAGACTGTACGGGGCACCCGGGCGGGAGGGGGTCCGTGGCTCGCCCGCAGGCTGTCAACAGCCTGAGAGGAGAAAGAGGAAATGATGCCCAAGGGGCAGGTTTCCTTCAGAGACAGAGGTGCCCCCATCAGGTAAGAAAATAAAGGTAAAAACACTCGAACTCCTGGAAGATCCAGACGCATCTGAGACAAAAAGGAGCCACAGACGGTCTTCCCTGTCCCTGCAAACCCACGCAAGCGCCCACGACCCTCCAGCGCGCGCGCACGTCAGCCCCGGAGTGAGCTGCCACGGGGTCATCAGCGTCCTGACGCCGCTGATGGTGACACGGGCGTCCTCTCTGGCGTCCCCCGTTCTATCCGTGGGGAAAAGCTTTAAATGCAAATTCTGATGTTTTTCTCTTTTACTTTGGCATAATTACATTCCAGAATAACTGGAAACACCGAATCCCTGGTAGGGTGCCTGCCACCCGCATGACAGCTTGCCCACGTCCTGTCTGCGTCCCCCGCGCTCTACGCCGCGGAGGTGACCCAGGAGCCGCGTCACCGCGAGGACAACGACAAGCCGGCTCGTCTGCTCCCGTCCTGCCCCTTCCTGCACCTCTGACGACAGGACCCGAGACTAACTTGGGGGCAGGGCCCCGGGCTCGAGGGAGCGCAGGACACCCAGGTCGGCACAGCCTTCCTGCCGCCCGTCTCGGCTCCTGGGAGCCGCTTCCCTTTGGAACACAAGACCTGACCCCTCGGGGGTGACCGAGCTTCCCTCAACGTGAAATCCACCTCGAGTCCCCTCGTGGGACCGTGTGTGCAGGCTCTTCCTTCCGGAAGCTGCTCCCTTCCTGGAACGGGAACGGGATGCAGGTGGGCAGCCGGAGTCCCGGGGGCGGCCAGGCGCGGGGACGTCCCCTCTGCTGCCAGCACACGGAGGGCATCTGCAGGAAGGTGAATTCAGCCCAGAGGGGCACCTGCTCACAGAGGGGCTGAGGAGGGACCCTGGGTGACGGTCCCTGACTCCAGGTACAGGGACCAGAAGGGCCCCTTTTCTCCATTTCGCTTTGGATTAAGTTCCTTCTTTGCATGCGAATGGCAGCATGGCTCATTATTGCTTATTTTCACTTTTCCTGAGTAATGACCAGCAAAGAGTCTGTGAGGTAGAGGTGCGTCCTCCTGTGAAAATGTTCCTGCAGAGTCACCTCACGCCGCAGCCCCCTCGTCACGGGCGGAGCCCAGAAGCTGCCCAGGCCCCTCGCCAGACCTTCCCGCCAGCCGACCTGCCGGGGGTGCCCACGCCCTGGCACTCAGTCATGGTGTCTCCTTCTGGGAGGAGAGGGAAACCACGTCTCTCGCTAGAAGGAACACAAGGTTCTTGCAAATCTCACACAAACTTAATGCAAATTATGTTTCCGAGTCATAATAACTGAGCTTCCTGATGGGACATTTTAAAAAAAGAGCTGGCGTGTGCACAGCAGTTCTGCTTCGAGGTCTTGGTTTAACATCTGCAGATTGGAAGCTGCTTTCCAAGTCCCCAGAAGACCTGTCCAGTAGTGCACGGAGCTGACACAGGAGCCGGGCGCCTGCAGTGCGAAGGCCCACGGAGGCCGAGATCGAGAGGTCCTGGCCCCACGTTGGAGCCACACAGAATCTCTGAAACTGTCTGCAGGACAAAGCACGTTCACACCAGTCAGTTCCACACAAAACCGCAGTGGGCAGTGTTGAAAATTGGGAACCAATTTAAAGCCTCAACTCTGTCTTTTCCAGATACCGAGTAAGCAGGCGCTCTGTGAGCCTGCAGGCAGAGACCAGATCCCTCCAGCTGTGTCCTAACTGCGTGCCACCAGCAAGGCTGCCTGGTGACACTCGTCAGCCTGAGCAACCATGTGTCGAGGTCTGACCTCTTGCCAACCGTGCAGTGAAGGGCCGCCACGGAGAGCCGCCACGGAGAGCTGCCACGGAGAGCCGCCACGGAGAGCCGCCACGGAGAGCTGCCACGGAGAGCCGCCACGGAGGACCCCCCACACTGGGGTAGAAGAGGAAACATGACAGTATCGACAGAGCAACGCAGCCGCGCGCTGTGTGGCAGTGACAGGCGTTAAGGAGGCGTGGGTCACTGTGGGGCGTGGCTGCGCCCGAGTCAATGACGTTGTCCCTCTGAGCGCGATGCCATGTGCTCTGTGTCTCGGATCCACTTGACTTTAAAGACAGGGCATCGAGGAGGCCCGTTTGGCTGATGAGTGGATAACGGGGCAGATGTCGCACCTGCTTCAATAGGGATGAAGGACATCGCTTTGGGAGCAAGCCGGCCACAGAGGAGCACATCCTGCATGATTCCCATACTCGAGGCGCCTGAAGGCAAAGTCATGGACTTGGAGGAAGGACTGATGCTTGGTGAGGGTGCAAGCCAGCCCACACTGTCCCCTCCCAGCCACACCTGGGAGCCGCGCTTCCCTGGGACAGACTGCACCTGGGCTGATGGGATCCTGAGTCACACCAGCCGCTGGAAGAAGGAAGGCCTTCCCAGTGGCCGCAGTGCCCGTGACACCCTCCCAGCCTCGCGGACTCTCACCCCTGCCCTTCATGCGTGGCTGTCCTCACCATCGGTCACCCACTCACACCCTGCAGCACCGTCAGGTGGAAACTATGTGCACCTTACAGGTGAGATTGCTGAGGGCCCGAGAGCCAGGCCACACGCGCCGCCGGCCCCCACCGGCCCCCAGCACCTCACCCCTGCTTGTTTCCTCTGTGCCTATTTGTCTCGATGACCCAGATTTTTAGAAAACATTAAATGTTTCACGGTGGCCAAAATGAAGACTTGGGATACGACTCATGGCTTTTATAATTATCAACTCTTGAGTGATTTAATACCTAGAACTTCTTCTTAATGAAGGAAAACTTTAGGGAGCCAGGAGCCACACCGGCTCCTCCAGAAGTGAATAATGAGGTCGCCCTCACTCGAGAAAACAGTCTTCTCCCTCAGTCCCTGCTCCGGGTCTGCGGCCGCGAACAATCAGCATACGGATGTTGAACTCACCCGTGCGTCTTCAGTAACTCTCCTCCAGGGGAAATCGCATCGCCTCCGCATCTCCATCTCGGTGCGGAATCACCGGGCAGCTGTGAGACCGACGTCCCTTCTGAAGCGCAGCAGCCACCCCCAGGTGCCCCAGTCCCTAACCGCCATCGAAGACCCTGTGCCAGAGGACAGTTGAGCGTCCGTAACCATGTCAGAGGACAGTCTCCACGCGGCCACGGTGGTCTGGACGCAGCTGCATTTCCATGGGAGTCTTGGGCTGTCCCTTCCCCACGAGGGCAGCACAGAGGCCACGGGGCTGGTGAGCACAGCCACACGGGAAGGGGGCTGGCGGAACACACGACGAATGTCCAGGGTAAGACATGCGCCTTGTAATCGTCCTCAGACACACAGGTGGGACTGGGTACAAGACAGAGTCTGAGGAACAGCCCGGCCCCAGCGCTCGGCAGGTGCAGAACCGTGGACAGAGAATGACGGGGACACCCCGCACCCCGCCCTCGGGAGATCACCACCTGCGGGAAGGACAGGGTGGGGCAGGGGCCCCGCTCTCAGGAGAGGGAGCACGGGGTGATGGGCCTGCAGGATGGATGGGGACAGACACCTTGGAGTCCTTGGTGAGGGGTCGGCCGGCCAAGATCCCAAACTCCTGGGGGGCGCTGGGTAGGCCTGGCAGGAGAGAGCCTCTCGGAGGCCATGGTTCCCTGGGACAGCCGGGCCGGGCCGGGCCGGGGACAGTCTGGCCTGTCCACGGTGGGTCCCGCAGAGGCGTGTTCAAAGTGCCCTCCTGACACACGCCGCTCACCTTCCAATCCCGCTGGGAATCTTCCCGGGCCGACGGCTCCCTTCCTCCGCCCCATTCAGACCATTCTGTTGGGCACAAACCCCTTTCCTCGAAGAAAG